GAAGTATTCAATGAGAACATGTTTTTTTCTCATGGGTAGAAATACTAAAGGCCGCTCATCATGACACGCTGACACAATGATCATGTTTCTGAAATTACTCAACAAATTCAAAAACATGACTCTTTTACATGCTATAATAAATCTGACAAACGCAGCATTTCATTAACATATTACATGTTAAAGCTATGAACTTGTGCTTTGTGCAAGTATGCATCAAAATTGAGTAGTAGTGCTCATGTGAGCCATGATAGTTTGAATCTTGCTTGCAACCCTAAAGGGTTAGTTCACCCAAAAATGAAAATTCTGTAATCAATTACTCACCCTCATGTCGCTCAAAACCCGTAAGACCTTTGTTCATCTTCGGAACACAACTTAAGATATATTTAATGAAATCTGAGTGCTTTCTGACCCCAGAGAGACTGCAATGTAATCACCACTTTCAATGCCCAGAAAGATAGTAAAGATATCATTAAAATAGTCCGTGTGACTATAGTGTAGAATTACAAACCTGCGCACATATTTTCAAAAGCACATAAGAATCAATTCTGAATGTGCATGTGAACGTCGTCAGCGTTAATCACAGGTTCGCGTTTAAAGTCTGATCATTTCGACGGAGGTGAATCAATCAAAATTAACTTTAGCTGGAAATAACATTATTCAAGAACCGCTATAAAACCAAAACAATCTCTGTTACCTTAAATTATGTTTATCTCTGTAAAGCTGCTTTGAAACAATCCATTGTTAAAAGCGCTATATAAATGAAGATGACTTGACTTGACTTGACTAGTGGTTCAATAAAAAAAAATTGAAGCGACCAAAAAAAAAAAAAAAAACTTTTCAACATTTCTTCTCATTAAAGCTGCAGTCTGTAGCTTTTTCCCTTTTTGTCACCATCTTTGTTCGAAATCTGTAACTGCAGTGATTCGCGGAATTATCATCTTTACGTGGGTTGTAAATCGGCATGAAACAGCGCGGAAGAACACAGTGTTTTGAGGCGAGTGGTGCTGTCAGTCACCGCGCTGTGTGGATACTGTCATTCAGAATCACAGATTCACTTTTTGAAAGCTTGACCAACATAAGAATTTTCACCGGAAAATGTCTTCTGAACAAGTAAGTAACATCCATTTTTGTTCTGATCAACTAAGGGGGGAAAAGCATTCGACATGATAAGCTTCGTTAGATTTAATCAGCGCGATTTACAGCAACCGTGCAAATCATAGCCTACTTTGTTCTCAAATTGTTCATGTTAACAACATCAGCATTGCGTGACTAACGTTATTTAATGTGTTTTATGATTACCTGTGTAGTTCAGAATTCACATTCTTCATAATAGCTAAACGAGAAAGGCACAACAAAGGAAACTCCATAACTGTGTGAATTAAGAAAACGTACTGTTACACGATTGAACTGTTGAAATGTCTTACTTGTTCAGCAGAAAAAGCTGTCTCTTCTTCCGTTTCGAACCCCTTCGGGAGTTCACGCACCTTTCAAAAGCCCCACCGATGTGTATCCTTGCGTTCGCATGAGACGGTTTCTTTCTCTTTCCACCTTAAATCCGAAGTACGAAGTCTTTTGGGTTTTATAACTGGTTAATCTCCAGTTGACACTGATGATTGTTGTTTGGATCTTTCTGGATCCGCCATAAGTTTAATCATGTAAAGTGCTGCGAGAAAAGCCTATCTCTACATCTCCTCACGCGCAGTATAGCCGGCTAGTCGAAACTCCTTCTTTATGTGTATGGGTGTGACGTAATGACGCAAAGACATGCTCGAATTTCCCGCGAAAAACCCACCAGTACCACTGGAATTAAAATCATTGTTACAAGCTAACCGTTTTGAATCTAGCTATGGCAAGCAGATAGTTTTGAACACTGGCTGAAGATGTTTTTTTTTTTTTTATAATTAATTTGGATTATTTTTAACTTAAAAAAGTTACGGACAGCAGCTTTAATGGCAGAATTTTCATACAATTGACAATTAGCATACAGTTTGGATTGGCGGTATGGGTCCGTTCTGGGCGAGAACTCTCTGCGCATCCATGCAGCCTAGCATGGATAAGAGCACCAATAACCCCCCTTAGGGTAGACAGAACAGAACCAGCATGAATGTATGCAGATATAATTAATTCAAGATTTTAAAGTACAACATAATTCGAGAATTTATTCTGATTCAAGGGGAATCAGAATTCAAAATCCTGACTGGGCGAGAGGAGGAGCTGGGGATGGAGGAGGGTAATTAGCTCCTGAGAAACGCGATAGCTGCTGATAATACTGAAGGAGCTTATATGTATACAGTGATAGGCGTCGTGTTCCTATAGGTAGACGTGGATCAGCTGAGAGTCAGCTGATGCGAGCTTGACTAACGTGACCTGCCAGAACTGACGCAACGCTTGATTTTTGGGTGAACTAACCCTTTAGACCAAGTGTTACGTCCCTGTGGTTCCGCGTATGTGTTTTCTTTTGGTTTCTCTTTCTCTGCTATCACCTTCTTAGGTGTGCGTCCTCACTCATCTGCTGTTGGCTGGGAGAGATGTCAATCATCATTACATCGTGACGTCATCTCCTTCCCGCCGCCTATCAAGTTCAACACTCGAGTTTAAAGGGAAGCGGGAGAGGAACGCATGTCGGCTTGCTTTCTTTTCTGTCGCTTTGCTTGCCGCCTTTGTGTTTATTTTCCGTTACAGATATTGTCCTGTTGTTTTTTCTTTCTGCCATGACGGCGTGTTTTGAGATTACCAAGTGTAATGTGTTCTGCCATGACGGCGTGTTTTGAGATTACCAAGTGTAATGTGTTTTGCCATGACGGCGTGTTCTGAGATTGCTAAGAGTAATGTGTTCTGCCATGATGGCGTGTTTTGAGGTTACCAAGAGAAATTCGGACAGGTAATATGTCACGTGACGTACACAAAGCAACACTTAGCAAACTCGATGTATACAAACCCCAGGTAGGGAAGTGAACGCCACCCATGGATGTTTTGTTATTAGTTAGAACAGCTAGAGAGGGCGCTTAGGCGCTGAAGATTACTGTCTTTTCTTTTCTTTTTGTTATTAGTTAGTAAGAGGTTGGGACTAGATAGTCGGAGTTTGTTTTGTTTCTTTCTTTTATTTGGCGTCACTATTTATGTCCTTATTCTCTTGGGTTGTTTATTTTTTTGAACTCTCAATCTGTTTATATTTTGTTTATTTTCTTGGTGTCCACAAATATATTTATCATCATTATTATTATTGTCCATCTTTTGCATTTACACTTCAAGTACAATAAACCGTACTTTATTTTCTTTCATAATACTTTGTTGTGTCGTCTCTTGCCACCTTAAATACACCATCTTCTGGTCACGACCTCAATGTTGCCCCTTTAAAGACCTTTTGTCTAAGGGTGCGTAACATTTAATGGGGGCTCGTCCGGGATCTTTAATCCCAAGTTAATTTAGTTGTGATCAGTTGTATGTGTGTATGCTAGTGGTGAGTGACGTTACGTTAGTTTGGCGGCATATTCATGCAGAGTAGTATTTTTGTACTCGTTTGCTGGTTGTGCATCATGGAAATGTTTAGCTTGCAGAAGTTCATTGCCAACCCGTCTTTTGAACAGATTAGTTCATGTAAGAAGCAAGATTTAGTGCTGATAGCTGATCACTATCAGGTTGTTGTGAGTAGACAAGCTCTTAAGAGTGAGATAAAAAGTAAGTTGATACAACGTTTAAAAGAGATCAATGTTCTTCCTATGTCAAATGCCGTGGGTGATGAGGAGGCTAGCGGAGGTGTTGGTGTGAGTGACGTTGCAGTGGCACATCGCAGTTTTGTGGATGATGAGGATAAGCGGAGCGGTAGAGCTGATGCTGAGGCGGAGGTGAGAGCCGAGGCTAAGGCCGGCTTGCCACCGTTTGATCCATTCTCTCCCAGTTCTGTTGATTCGAGAGACGGCGCGCGACTGAAAGTCCGCTTAGCCCGTTTACAATATGAGGCGCAGGAGAAAGCCGAGGCACGTCAAGCTGAGATAAATCTGCGTTTGGAAGTACGCAGGCTTGAAATTGAGGCTGAGACTCAGGTAAAGCTGCGACAGCTCGATCTGGACGCGATGCAGATCACTGCCAGTTCGGCTGCGCAGTTGAATCCAGGTCCGGTCTCTGATGTTCCTCCGCGGTCTGATTCATCCCAGGTAAGATTTGACATAAGTAAGCACATTGTCTTAGTTCCTCAGTTCAGAGAATCAGAGGTGGATTCTTATTTCACTGCATTTGAACGCATAGCTACTTCTCTTCATTGGCCTAAAGACGTCTGGTCTCTGTTATTACAGTGTAAATTGATTGGAAAAGCTCAAGAGGTTTGTTCTACTTTATCTCTAGAAGAAAGTTTAAAATATGACTTTATGAAAGCTTCGATACTTCGTGCTTATGAGTTAGTCCCAGAGGCTTATCGGCAGAAGTTTCGAGGGCATAAAAAAAAATTCGGCACAGACATTCGTGGAATTTGCAAGAGACAAAGGAATTTTATTTGACAAGTGGTGCACAGCTAGCAAAGTGAGTGACTTTAATGAGTTAAGAGAACTTGTACTGCTCGAAGAGTTCAAAGGGTGTTTGCCTGATCGTGTTGTGGTCTATCTAAATGAACAGAAGGTAACTTCGTTGTCTCACGCAGCCGTGTTAGCGGATGAATTTGTTTTAACCCACAAAAATGTTTTTTCACTTGCACGTTCAGAGAGGTCACAGCCTGCTCCTGTGCAAACCCAAACGTTTCGTTTTAAAAACAGTCCACCTCGTGCTAGAGAGGATCGAGAATGTTTTTATTGTCACAAACAAGGACATGTGATCGCAGATTGTTTGACGTTAAAACGCAAGCAGCAGCCTAAAAGCGTAGGGTTTGTGAAAACTGTTAAGCCGACTGTTAGTGTGCCTAATGTGAGGAAAATTGATGACAGTTATCAACCTTTTATCTTGAAAGGGTTAATTTCTTTAAACGGAAATTGTGACGACCAGAAAGAAATAAGAATGCTCAGAGACACCGGTGCAATGCAATCTTTTATTGTGGCAGATAGATTACCATTGTCTGAGGACACTTTCTGTGGCTCAAGTGTGATAGTTCAGGGCATTGACATGAGTTGTATAACTGTGCCATTACATCGTATACATTTACAGAGTGAGTTATGTACGGGATTTGTAAGAGTGGCGGTACGTCCTTCTCTTCCTGTTCAGGGCGTTGATTTTATCCTTGGAAATGATCTAGCTGGAGGAAAAATCTTGCCTGTGTTAGAAGTTCTTGCAAAACCAGATGTGTGTAGTCAATCAGATGATGTGTCACATACTTACCCTGAAGTTTTTCCCGCATGCGCTGTCACTCGCGCTCAGTCGCGTAAAGTGGGTGATATGGTGGATTTGTCTGACTCTGTTTTTATCCCTCTTCTTGCTGGTGACGAATCATTGTGCACTGTTACGTCATCAAAAATAGATAAATCACAGTCAGAGAAAATGAGAGAAAATGTGTCTGACGCACCAGAATTGAAAATGTCCGTGTCACGAGAGAAAATTATTTCTGCACAGAAAGAAGATAAATCTCTCATTACTGCTTTTAATTCTGCTGTCTCTCTTGAGGTAGCTAAAAGTCAGAAAGTTGCTTATTTTCTTGAGAATGAGTTATTGATGAGAAAGTGGTGTTCTAGCACAAACGATTCAGATTGGAATGTTGTGTATCAGGTGGTCATTCCTTCTCCTTATCGGCAGCATGTGTTATGTTTAGCGCATGATCATCAGCTTGCCGGTCACTTAGGAATTACGAAAACGTATGATAGGATTTTACAGCACTTCTTTTGGCCAGGCTTGAAGAAGGATGTTGCTCAGTACTGCCGTACTTGTCACACATGTCAAACTGTTGGGAAGCCGAACCAGGTGATTCGTCCTGCTCCACTGTTTCCCATACCAGCAATCGGGGAGCCGTTCGAGCATGTGCTCATAGACTGTGTTGGGCCGTTGCCTAAAACAAAATCGGGTAACCAGTTTTTGTTTACCATAATGTGCATGTCTACTAGGTTTCCAGAGGCAATTCCACTGAGAAAAATCACCGCACCCGTTATTGTCAAAGCATTAGTGAAGTTCTTTTCCACTTTCGGTCTTCCGAAAATAGTACAAAGCGATCAGGGCACAAATTTTTTATCAAGACTTTTTAAACAAGTGCTGGAGTCTTTAGAAATTTCTCACCGAGTTTCAAGTGCGTACCATCCACAAAGCCAGGGCGCACTTGAACGCTTTCACCAGACACTTAAGTCGATGCTTAAGAAGTACTGCATGGACACTGCTAAAGACTGGGATGAGGGGGTTCCCTTAGTATTATTCGCGGTAAGAGAGACTGTACAAGAATCTCTTGGTTTCAGTCCAGCCGAACTTGTATTCGGACATCAGATGAGAGGACCTTTGAAAGTTTTTAAAGAACACATTTTGACCACTGTTTCAAGTCCTCACACGAATGTACTGGATTATGTGAGTAAGTTTCGAGATCGTTTGCATACTGCTTGGTCACTAGCTAAAGAATCTCTAGGAAATGCTCAGAAAAGCATGAAGCGCAAGTATGATCAGAGAGCAGTTGCGCGTTCGTTTTCAGCCGGTGATAAAGTGTTGGTGCTTTTACCTGTTCCAGGATCATCTTTGTCCGCCCGTTTCTTTGGTCCTTATGTGGTGAAACAGAAAATGAGTGAAACTGACTATGTGCTTTACACACCTGACAGAAAACGTCAAACCCGAGTTTGTCACATAAACATGCTAAAAGCTTACCATGACAGGGAGATGCCTGAGGTGAAAACTTCAGAGGAGACTGCAGGGCCCGCTGTCTCATCTGTCGCATTAGCCGTGGATCTGTTAAAACCTGTTGATATCTCGGGGGCTGACGAGGATGGGGTCGTGCTTCGCAATGCTCCTCAGCAGTGTGCAAGGTTAGCTAATTCCGAGATTTTAAAAGATCTTCACTCGTATCTGAATCATTTAACTCCTGACCAGAGAACTGACATTGTTAAAATAATATCTGATTTTAACTGTCTGTTTAGTGATGTTCCTAAACAAACAAATGTTTTACAACATGATATTGTTGTAAATGATGCTCGTCCTATTAAGCAACATGCTTATCGCATAAATGCAGTCAAGAAATCTGTTATGCGTCAAGAAGTGAATTATCTGCTTGAGAATAATTTAGCCAGGCCTAGTTGCAGTCCCTGGAGTTCTCCGTGTCTTCTCGTTCCTAAACCTGACGGCACGTATAGATTTTGTACGGATTTCCGTAAAGTGAACGCCGTAACGGTGCCAGACAGTTATCCGTTACCGCGAATGGAAGACTGTATTGATAATCTTGGGTCTGCTCGCTTTGTTACAAAGCTGGATATGCTGAAAGGGTACTGGCAGGTACCACTTACTCCACAAGCGTCAGATATCTCAGCATTTGTAACACCAGACAAGTTCCTCCAATACACAGCGATGGCTTTCGGACTCAGAAACGCTCCAGCCACCTTTCAGCGTCTTGTAAATATCGTCTTAGCTGATGTACCGAATTGCAATGCGTATCTTGATGATTTAGTTTTATATTCAGTGACTTGGAAGGAACATGTGTGCTTGTTGAGAACTGTGTTCGAACGTCTACGTGCAGCTAACTTAACTCTCAACTTGGCAAAGTGTGAGTTTGGTCGAGCGACTGTCACTTATCTGGGTAAAGAGGTTGGACAAGGCCAGGTACGACCAGTGGAGGCTAAGGTTACCGCTATTGCAGATTTTCCAGTCCCTACCACTCGACGACAGTTGCGAAGATTTCTAGGTATGGCTGGTTATTACCGCAGTTTCTGTAAAAACTTCTCAACCGTTGTTACTCCTCTCACCTCGTTGCTTAGTCCATCTAAACTTTTTAAATGGTCTGTGGAGTGTCAGAATGCTTTTGATTGTGTCAAAATGCTTTTATGTAATGCACCTGTTCTCGTTGCACCTGATTGTACGCATACTTTCAAGCTTGAGGTCGATGCCAGTGCTGTTGGAGCAGGAGCTGTTCTTCTTCAGGAGGATACCCATGGTATAGATCATCCTGTGAGTTATTATTCCCGTAAGTTTAATAAACATCAGCTTAACTATTCTACCATTGAAAAAGAAGCACTTGCTCTCTTGCTTGCTCTCCAGCATTTCGAAGTTTACCTCGGTTCCAGTAGTCTTCCTATCACAGTCTTCACCGATCATAACCCTCTAGTGTTTTTATCCAGGATGTACAATCAAAACCAGCGTTTGATGCGCTGGGCTCTAGTACTCCAGAATTATAATTTGGAGATCAAGCACAAAAAGGGTGTTGATAATGTTTTGGCTGACGCTCTTTCGAGAGTGTAAAAATATTGTCTGTTTTAACTTGTTTTTCACAAACAGGTTTGCTCTTAAGGGTGGGAGTGTTACGTCCCTGTGGTTCCGCGTATGTGTTTTCTTTTGGTTTCTCTTTCTCTGCTATCACCTTCTTAGGTGTGCGTCCTCACTCATCTGCTGTTGGCTGGGAGAGATGTCAATCATCATTACATCGTGACGTCATCTCCTTCCCGCCGCCTATCAAGTTCAACACTCGAGTTTAAAGGGAAGCGGGAGAGGAACGCATGTCGGCTTGCTTTCTTTTCTGTCGCTTTGCTTGCCGCCTTTGTGTTTATTTTCCGTTACAGATATTGTCCTGTTGTTTTTTCTTTCTGCCATGACGGCGTGTTTTGAGATTACCAAGTGTAATGTGTTCTGCCATGACGGCGTGTTTTGAGATTACCAAGTGTAATGTGTTTTGCCATGACGGCGTGTTCTGAGATTGCTAAGAGTAATGTGTTCTGCCATGATGGCGTGTTTTGAGGTTACCAAGAGAAATTCGGACAGGTAATATGTCACGTGACGTACACAAAGCAACACTTAGCAAACTCGATGTATACAAACCCCAGGTAGGGAAGTGAACGCCACCCATGGATGTTTTGTTATTAGTTAGAACAGCTAGAGAGGGCGCTTAGGCGCTGAAGATTACTGTCTTTTCTTTTCTTTTTGTTATTAGTTAGTAAGAGGTTGGGACTAGATAGTCGGAGTTTGTTTTGTTTCTTTCTTTTATTTGGCGTCACTATTTATGTCCTTATTCTCTTGGGTTGTTTATTTTTTTGAACTCTCAATCTGTTTATATTTTGTTTATTTTCTTGGTGTCCACAAATATATTTATCATCATTATTATTATTGTCCATCTTTTGCATTTACACTTCAAGTACAATAAACCGTACTTTATTTTCTTTCATAATACTTTGTTGTGTCGTCTCTTGCCACCTTAAATACACCATCTTCTGGTCACGACCTCAATGTTGCCCCTTTAAAGACCTTTTGTCTAAGGGTGCGTAACACCAAGGCACTTACACACCTGACATTGAATCCTATGAATATTGTTTCCTCTATTGTAAGTCACTAAATGCATAAATCTAAATGTACATGTAACACTTCCTCATTCTGCCTTCAATTTCGCCTGCACTATTCCTTCTATCCCTACAAATAAAAAGTGCCAAAAAGGCTAAAAAAACATTAATTTTCAAGCAAAACTCTTCAATGAAAAGAAAACCTAAAGAATTGAGTTAGCTCAGACATTGTCCTACAGTTTGGGTGGCCAACACAGAAGAAAAAGTGAGGGATCCCCACACTCTTATATTCTATTGCAAAACACCTTACTCGCGCAGAAAGAAAATGTTCAGCAACAAAAAAGTCATTGTGTTTCCATGTTCAGTTGAAAAACATGCGGGGTAGTGGGCGTTGGGGGATGTGGAAACAGACCACCGATTAGGATGGGCACCAAACGTTGCCAACATGTGACAGGTGTGCGCCCCTTTCCTCGCCCACTTCATAGCTTCCTCCTCCTTACACCCACCCAAACTCAACAGTGGGTCATTTCCTTCTTTAACGTACAATGTTGGCAGTTGGCAATCATAACACATGATTCCATAGGTGGATTCCATAGGTCAGCTGCTTCCCACTGTAAAACATATTACATTTCTTCTCCCATCCATATCAGTATAATGTCTTACTCTTTCTACACACACAAAGAAATATTACTCAGCAGGGCTATTCACAGACTCCAGTGGACTAGAACATTGATCAAATGTCATCTATGACGGTACGGAAAAAACAGCAGGTGATGTAAGGGTGAAGTCTTGAGAAAGCCGCGTATGATGCACCAAATACATAAACACTGGAAAGCAAACATGTTTAGCTTATAATTAAAACTTTTACCCTCACCACTGAAAAAACTCTATGACACCCGGCAGTTATGGAGGGGGATTTCCAAGTGTTTTGTAAACACAAAGAAGCAGGTACTAAATCAAATGATGGTGCTGGGTAGGTCGTGATAGAGATATGGCATTTTGATGTACAAACAAATCAACAGGAAAGCCAATAGTCTCCAACAGGGAAATGATATGACTACTGGAGGATCATGCATGAA